TTGTCTGTGTGTTTCCTGGATGGGGCTGCCTTTTATAGCTGCTTTTTGTGTCTCTGTTTCTGTCTCCTTGAACCTCAGTTGGCCTCGGCAGATGGCCGCTCACACTGAGCCTGGTTCTGCTGGAGGTTTCTTCCTGTTAAAAGGGAGTTTTTCCTCTCCACTGTCGCTACAAGCATGGTTAGTGTGAGGGATTGTATTTGAGTCAATGCAATCAACTGGTTTTCCTTAGATAGAAAACGTTGTATCAATTTACTGTATGATCTTGTTGAACTATAAAGTGCCTTGAGATGACATGTGTTGTGAATTTGGCGCTATAGAAATAAACTGAATTGAACTGAATTGAAAATTGAATAGATTTCATCATCCATACCTACCAATTATGATGAGAAACTTCTAAAATCTCCCAGAAAGAATCTTTAGGTTTGTACATCAGTAATACAACTTGTTTAAAAACTCCAATTCATACATGCTCATCATTTCAGGGCTGTTTTTTTTCGATTATCATTTTGAGCTGAAATTTAATGAAACAAAATGTATGAAAATGCAAGTAAGTATGATTTTAGCAATGGTTAATTTCCTTCTTTAGTCCCTAGACCAACACAGTCATGAAGAGAATACTTACCATAATACAACAATGAATTGTTTAAGACAGTAAATTAAGTAAATGAGGTAAAGTGTTCCAGGTTTGGAACCACGATAAGAGATCACATCCCATTTAGAAGCACTTCTCTCCAACTTGTTGACCTGTTTAGACGTCCGTTCCGTTTGTATAAATTCCCATCGTAGAGTAGGAAATGTGTTTGTTCTCCAGGAAATGAGATGGCATTCCAGGGGTAGCAAATTGGCTCCTTTCCATCTGCCTTTCTCAAGGGACTCTTTATATTTCTACTGAAACCAGGAGACACTCGGCTGTCAGGGGTCAGCGGAGGAACATTCGACTGCCTTGTGTTGAATTTTTATAAAAACAAAGAACCACTTTCTTTTTTTCCCTCTCGTATTTTCAAAACACACTGACTGTACTTTAGATGAAGGGGCATAAAGGAAGGGGACGTAGAAAACAAAGAGGCATGTTATAAACACTAAGAAAGTCATGAGCTGCAGGAAAAAGGAACAAAGAAGGTCTTTCTGATGGTTTTAATGAAGGTGTCCCTGTAACCAATGGTTAGCTCCATCACTCTATCCTCATCTAATTTTACAGAGTAGGCACTTTAAAAAACCAGAATAGAAATACAGGTTTCACAGAAAAGTATATTTATGACTAAAAGATCAGGGCCTGTAATCACAGATGCTCAGAGTCAAAGTGCTCCTAACTTAGCCTAGAAATCAGTCCAGGCTTCAGTTAACCTGTGAGCCGCTTTTTGAGTGAATCTTGTTCCATTATTGTTGTACGGAAAGAAAAAGTTAGTGAGAAAGGTAAGTATTTAAACACCCTGTGATTTTTTCTAATTATTCCACTTGGAGGAGTCTGATATATTTATCTTAGATACAGGTCCACTGTGAGTACAACGGAGTATTGGGGACAGGCTAGAGATTTTTTACATTTTATTATTATTAACAATACGAGAAAAAAGTTTAAATATTTTGAGAATAAAGTTGTAACATTATGAGAATAAAGTCGTAACATTACGAGAATAAAGTTGTAACATTATGAGAATAAAGTTGTAACATTATGAGAATAAATTTGTAACATTACGAGAATTAAGTCGTAACATTACGAGAATAAAGTCATAACATTATGAGAATAAAGTTGTTACATTACGAGAATGAAGTCGTAACATTACGAGAATAAATTCGTAACAATACGAGAATAAAGTCGTAACATTACGAGAATAAATTCGTAACATTACGAGAATAAATTCGTAACATTACGAGAATAAAGTCGTAACATTACGAGAATAAAGTTATACAGTAACATTACGAGAATAAAGTTGTAACATTACGAGAATAAAGTTGTAACATTACGAGAATAAAGTTGTAACATTACCAGAATAAAGTTATACAGTAACATTACGAGAATAAAGTTGTAACATTATGAGAATAAAGTCATAGCATTACCAGAATAAAGTCGTAGCATTACCAGAATAAAGTCGTAGCATTACCAGAATAAAGTTGTAATATTATGAGAATGAAGTCATCAAACAACAACCTGTTTCAGAAAGAAAGCTTNTATGACTAAAAGATCAGGGCCTGTAATCACAGATGCTCAGAGTCAAAGTGCTCCTAACTTAGCCTAGAAATCAGTCCAGGCTTCAGTTAACCTGTAAGAGATGTCATAAAATACAACTTTATTCTCGTAATTTTAGGACTTTATTCTCTTGATAATACGACTTTATTCTTGTAATTTTATGACTCTTCTCATTGTGAGATTTTTCTTGTAATATTATGACTTTATTCTCGTAATTTAGACTTTATTCTCGTAATTTGTTCTCATAATTTTATTACTTAATCTCATAATGTTAGGAATTTATGACTATTATGGACTTTTATGACTATTCTCGTTGCGACTTTATTCTCGTAATTTTAGGACTTCATTCTCATAATTTTATTACTTTATTCTCATAATGTTATGACTTTATTCTCATAATTTTATGAATTTATTCTCATAATGTTAAGACTTTATTCTCGTAATTTTATGACTATTTTTGTTGCGACTTAATTCTCATAACGTTATTTGTTTAATATTTATTTTTGAAATAGAAGAAAAAAAATCTCTAGCCTGGCCCTAATACTCCATGGTACTGTGAGAGACATAATCCAAAAAATCTTTGGTTCAGTAGCCTTTGTTTACCGTATGTTATTTATTGTTTTGTTATTTTGTATGGGACAGTGCATATTAATGGACATAAAAGAAAAAACAGGAATGTAAACACGCCAGATATAGCCAATGGCTATTCTCCATCTGTTATCCTAAAGGGCAGGGATCATACATGAGTCAGGCAGAGACAGTTACACAGACATATATTCATCCATATTGCACATCCTCCACAATCAAACACTCCGGACATCGCACATCACCCCTATTTGCACACTTTCCACAAATTGCACATATGAATCATTGCACCATGTCCATCATTACAATGTCCCCATTAAAACTCAGTCTACAATATTGCACAATCCCTCTCAAACTGGCAACACATTCACATAATTTGCAGGACAAACACAATCATGCTCTCACACGCATACACAGAATTCTATCCCGGTTTAAAAAAATATATAAAAATCATATAAAACTGTATCATCCATACAAACCATCACATACTTGATTTGGCTACAGCCAATGTTTGGCCTGAGCCTTAAGAGCCATACGTAGGATATTCTCTCTCTGTTTGTGGGAGGGTATACACATATAGCCACCCTGGACAGACAAAACATTTTGCGTATTGAGTATAAACATGTCTTCTCTCTTTCTGTAGCTCATGTACTCCTGTCTGGATTATCTTTACATTTAATAAACTCCTTCAGCAGTGTTTTGGCCAAAGACTGTGAAAACTATGTAAATCAGGCAAACTCTTAAAATCCACCATGTTATTAAAGTCGAATTTGTAATTACAGAAGTCAAATGTTTCCACATTTTTTTTAAAAACAAGGTTTACACACACTGCAGGTGGGATTTTGGCCCTTTCTCCACACAGATATTCTCTAGATCAGTCAGGTTTCTGGGCTGTTGCTGAGAAACATGGAGTTTGAGTTTCCATCAAGGATTCTCTATTGGGTTTAGGTCTGGAGACTGGCTAGGACGCACCAGAACCTTGATATGCTTCTTACTCATTGGTTATCCTGGCTGTGTGCTTCAGGTCATTGTCATGTTGGAAGACCAAGCCTCGACCCATCTTCACTGCTCTAACTAAGGAAAGGAGGTTGCTCCCCGAAATCTCTCTTTACATGGCCCAGTTCATCCTCTCCTTAATACACTGCAGTCTTCCTGTCCCATGTGCAGAAAAACATCCCCAAAGCATGATGCTGCCACCCCCATGCTTCACAGTAGGGACATGAGGTGAACCAAGACCGAAAACTTCTACTTCGGGCTCATCTGACCAAACAAACATTCTCTCATTACTCTTCTGGGTTATCCATGGGGTTCATAGGTAACTGAAGACAGGTTTAGAAGGGAAACCTTCCGTGCCACAATTTTTAATAACAATATCATGTTAGTGTATTACCCAAAGTAACCATTAAAACCGTGGTACCAGCTCTCTACCGGTGATTGACAGGCTCCTCCCGTGTAATTCTAGGCTGATTCCTTATGTCACATATGAGACTTTGCATGGACCTAAGTCTGAGGGTGATTGACAGTCATGTTTAGCTTCTTCCATTTTCTGATAGTTGCTCCAATAAATGATCTTTTTTCACTGCTGTCATTGGACGGCTCTTTAGTCTTAGCCATATTAGTAGTTTGAGTCTTGTATTCACACCGGCCCTGTTTAGTCCACTTTTATTGGCCCATAGTTTGTTTGGCCAGAAAGTTTGGTTGTGTAAGGAGCTATAAAAGCACATTCAAACTCGATTTTTTTCTACTTTCTGCTACTTTAGATCTCCAATGAAATGTAAAATAATAGCAAATATAGCTAATAAGATGTTGAAACTCCAAAAGAGATTTGATCCCTAAGAAACAGGTGCAATACGGTTTGTCTGAGTGGAGTTGCCATATGTTGACGTTATAACAAGGGGCGGGGCCCCGAGCAGGTCTGGTACCTACGCCTGCCCCCAAAGTGAACAGAATATAATCTAGAAAATGTAATTTAAAAAAAAGGGGAAATTAGTAAAAACCAAGAAAAAAAGAGAAATTTAAAAACAAAAAACAAAATATAATTTCTGAAAACATTTTAAACTAATTTTCTTCGATTCAAATGTGAAAAAAAAATCGTAGAAAAACAGCGTTCCTCTCAAAACCTTTTTGTTTTTGCAGAAATAATGGAAACCAAATTCACTCCATATACCGCAGGCGTCAGGGTGATGGTTATAAGAACAAAATCACTTAAAAAGACACAAATGAGGTTGAAGAAAGAACAGACCTTTATTGGCAAAAAATTATATATTACAGGCAACATATGCAAAATCAAAGAAAAGAACTCACACACGAAATACTTAATTCACATCAAACGTGTCACAAGACTTGTGAAAAAATGTCGGGAACACAGGAAATTATTGCTTGAACCAATTCTGTTAAAAATGCTGTAATATATTTACACAGACTGTAGCTGTGAATGTCAGTCCTCCTGAAACATGGCTGCTCTGGAAGTGGGCTGGGAATATGGTCAACAGGTTTGACTATAGTTCACTAAGAAAAAAAAAGATTTTGATATGTCTGTCTGAAACAGACTTCTTCGAATGAAGACCGAATGATCTCTGCTGTAAAAGATTTTGTTAAAAACTAGTTGGGGTTTTCCTTAACTTATTTTATAAACCTCTGTTAACGAGGACTCGGTAGCCGTTCTTAGACATAAATGAAGCGGATCAATACATCCACAACGATTAACCCTTTGAGGGCTTTATTTTGCTCTTCAGAAAGCTTCACTAAAAATGTCAACATCCTGCTTGACCTTACCTGGAGAAAAATATGGAAACATAGGAAATGGTTTAAGTTTTAGAAAATATTCCTCACATCCAGTCATCAATGTTTTCAATAATTAACTAATCTGAACTCTAAATGACATATTTATATTATTATATAAAGGGGGAGGGGTTCTGTGCAGAAGATAAAAGCAATTAGCATCTTACTGACATTTACTCTTTAGAGGACGATTAACCGGTCATAACCGGATCCAGAGCGAGAAGGACCGCTGCCGTTTTAAAAATACAACCAGTCTAACAGATCCTAGCAGAGGTAATGTTTACATTGTGGCAGAAACCCTCCAACGTGTCCACAGTTAGCAACAGACGAGTCAATCAGTCCAGATGTTAATAAGTAAGATGATTCAAACTTAATTCCTTCAGTTTCTGTCGAAGTCATGAAGGATTTACCAACTGCAGGTAGGTTACTAACTACACATCACCTCTTCACATAATCCCAAACTAGAAAAGAACAAATCTAAACGGTTTCCTCCAAAGGCCTGTCAGCTGAGATTCAGGATGATATAAAAATAAAAAAGAACACGCACCAAAACCCCCAGAAAAGACAAGTTTGTACATACAGTATTTCAACACCTACAACATTTTCTTAGTAAAAATTATTGTCAGAGTCATTCACACCTTTTATTGATTTTTACTCCAAAGCGTTGAAAGACTTTTTAATGTCCGTTACGCTTCTTTTAATCGTTCTACAGACTTTTAAGGACTGTTCCTCTTCTGCTAGTCCTCCAGTGTTTGGGACCAGATTCCTCCACAAGCTAAACGAGATTAAGATTTTAAACTCCTGTTGGACCACAGCAGGAATCCTGGCTTTTGTTCTCAGGATCTTTGTTGATTTTCTGTTAAAGTCTTGAAGTATATATATATATATTTAAAAAAAAAAAGAAAAAAAAGCTACCTTCCATATTTTGGAGATTGAGAAAAATAATCAGAAAATCCTAATGGCATCATGCCCATGCTCCATTTCTCAACTTTCACCAGTGGGGTTATAACAAAGTAATAAAAGGTTAATGTGATTACTATGGGAACAATGCCAAATGCAGTCAAATTAGGTTTCAGTCCTAAAAAAAAAAAAGTGCCTACTAAAAATTGTCAGAAACTGCAATAAGTTAAATAAGGCTTAATAGAGCATCGATAAGGAAAAGAAATCAGATTGGACTAAATCTTCTTCAGCACATACAGAACAGAGCAGAGGATCCTTCTCGTAGAGCTGAATCGTAATGCTTGCATAGTCTGACAGAGAGTCCGTCACCGTCGCTTCGTCCTTTTGTTGCTTCACAAACTGTCAAACTTATGTTTTAAATAGTCTTTCATAACTTTTGCAATGGGAAGATCCTCCAGGAATTTCAAGCTCTGAAGGCCGATGCAGTGACGGATTTTTATTCGACACAGGTCTTGGAGACTTCGAGGTTGCCCTGAAAAAGGAAAACAGGCTGTTATCATCAGGAGCCAGATATGCTTTAGAGCAATCAAGAAAATCATCAACCAGTAAAGGTTTGGAGACATTTTTAATTATAATCTGTTACTTTCAACAGAATTTATAACTGAAATAAAATTAGGTGTTTATGCATCCATGTTATACATTGATTTTTTTAAATAAAAAAAAATATATATAAACCAATAATGGACACTTTTTCCATTTTAACATCTAAAGTGTTTAGAAGTAGAGAAAAACGATTACCGTATTCAGTTTGGTTTATAGACAATTTCCTGATTC